CGCAGGCGGCGAAAGCAGTATTTGCAATGGTTCGGAGGTCAAACACTGCTACGACTTCTTCGGTCCACTCGGGCACGGCAACGAGGGTGCCAAAGGCATCAGCGAGCTGTGGTTGAGCCGGGGTTAACCATTGAGTTAACCATGTAAAGCGTCTGGCACGATCAGCCTCTCTCACCTCTTCCAACTCAAACAAAACTTCTGGGACCGAAGAGGGAGCTGCCAAAGTGATCACTGTGATGTCCGGAGCGAAGTTCGGCGTGAGTATGAGAAAGAGCGCCTGGATGAAATCTCCCGGTGCCTGTGTGGCATGTTCCTGCTCCTGCATCATGACCTCTGGTGGGGCCCCATGTGCTGGATTGCCATCCCCGAAGGGGAGAAACAACGCACGCATGTGTTCCTCGTGTGTCAGGTGAACGGCACCGTCTAGCCGCACTGTTAGATCCGGTGGATCAGTTAGCTTGCAAGATACGCACAGGTCAGCAATCTCTGGCGCTAGAGGCACCGAAAATGCAGAGGAGACCTGGCTCAATTGCACGCACAAGGGCTGGACCAGACAGGCGCAAGAAGTTTTCTTGCCAAGGTGCTTCCTTTGCTGCAGAGGCGGAGGGCACATGCGGCGGAATTGGCTATTTTGCGAATGCATCGGCGATCTGCTTCGGCTGTGGGAACGCTCCTGGCAACTCTGATTGGAAGGGGCATCACCGATGTGCGGGGCCGTGTCTCCGTCCGCTGCGGCAGTGGACACAAGTGGCTGATCAGGTACGGGCACGGTGTTGTCCCCCGATTCAGAGTTGCTAAGGTGTCCATTACGTCGCCGATCGCTAAGGGGAAAGGCCCTAAACCTTAGGGTGGCAACCTGGGGCACGACGACGAAGTCACGATGAACAACACCTCCCTCGATGGACAGCCCGAAGTCCGGGGAAATGCATATGCCATACAAGAGCAAAAGTGTGGGCACGTGCAATTGAAAGGAATGCGAAAAATGCACTTGGGGCTTGAAGCCTATCGGCCGAAAGTCCAGGAAGGTGAATACATCGAGACGACCGGTGGCACTATCTCCCGTAGCTGGCCCCGGGGGGAGATCCGCCGCCGCGAAGATCGCAGTACAAGGCTCGCCCATCATATCAAGATCGGGGAAGTCGTCGGAAAAGCAGAGTGTGAGCTCTGTCAGCTCCCGATCTAGGTACAATGCGGCGGCTTGTGCCGGTGTGCGGCCGAGGTGATATCTCCCATGTAGATACCACCTTTCGCTGTTCCTTATGAGACAGTACCCAGGCGTGTACTCCTGCATTGGTACATGCTCGAGTTTGCCACGAAGGGCATTACTCTCCAAAAGCGTCCTGACATCGAAAGGCGTAGGAGGGCGGCCGGCCTGGGACAGGACAGTGATGGCATCTCCATCTTCCAGGTGCATAGGTTCCTGATCAGAGGCTGGGCCATCATGTCGTCCGAAGTACACCAACAGCTGGTCAGGCTCATATGCGATTTGCGATTGGATGTATGCAATGAAAGCCCCCAGGTTGAGGGTTTGTGGCAGGACAGTAGCAAAATATCTGCCGCCTACACAGGTAGCATCAACCATGGCAGCAATATATTTACATCCACCGGCATGCCCTAAGCACCTCGGGTATGCAATAAAGCTGGCGAAGACATCATGACGCGGTGGGGTGATCGGAACAATTGCATCGAAGCCCTCATCAAAAAGCTCCGGTCCCTGCCGTAGAAGAGCATCCACGACGTCGCTGATATCCTGCACACAGCTGAGATTGATGCCCCAGCACCTTGGCTGATAATAGGGTGCATGTACAATGATTCCCAGCCATTGGTCCTCACTGAAATCGGGGCTCGATGGACGGGGCATCGGGAGCTTAACGAGGCGCCTATGAGCTGGTGGAGGGTGTTCGGGCCGAGGGTTCGCAGGCTGTGAAGGCCAGGCTTGCGGGCAGGGCGGAAGCTGATAAGTACCTGCAGAGGAGAGGCCCGGTATCCACTCACCGTCCACATGATCAAGGTGGCTGGGCGACTCCTCCGGCCTGTCCTCATCCTGGGATCCCGGCGAATCAGGAAAGTCATCGGGCTCATATCTGTTCAGGGATGCAAATCCTGATGGAGTAATTGCTCCCACTGGCCGGCCTACAAACACCCAAACAGCTACATGTCCGGACCAAACTGGCCCAAAGCCGAAGGCAGCTGGAACCGAATGAGCAAAACCGAGGCAGGGGCCTAGGACAGACCAAACGCATCTTACAGCGAAGGGAAGCCTCCTGCCAGACATGCTATCTCGAGGTTGCGGCTGCTGCCGTGAAGGGTTCGCCCTGGTGGGCCGGCTGGCCTGTGGGTTGTACATGTCCGTAAGGGCGCGCGGACTTGCAATACGCGCCAGCGGCTCAATGGGCAAATGCAGCCCGGCATTGCACACCAGGGCAGCTGCGCGACTGAAAAAGGGCTTGCGCAGGGGTGTGCGCAGTCCGCGCCGTGATGTGCGCAGGGGTGCGCAGAGAAGGCGCAGCAGCGCGCATAGAAAAAGCATTCCCGCACAATGCCCCGCGGACTCGAAAAAGTGTATTCCTGCACCTAGATCAATTCCATGGTGCAATAGGCTCGCAGCCACGCTCAGAAGGCAGGCGCTTATCCAGAAATGCTCAAAGCACGGAGTGTAGCACTTCAGGATCAGAAACCGCAAAGCGGGTGGTACCGGGTGTGCGTGCAGACGGCGCATCACGATCCACCACGGCATCATCCAGCACACATTGCTGATGTCATGTTTGACGTGGCTGACATCAAAGGCATTGCAGGCGACCACCCCAGAGCTACCGATGTGGTTCTTTAGCGCCCTGCATAGTTCCCAAAGGGAAACAAGGAAAATAAAATCATGGCCCTCAAAAGGGGCGCCACTCCGGTGTTTTCAAAAATGGAGTGTGGAGGTCTGGACGTAATTGTCACCTCAGCTTCGTGCTGGCCAAAGCATGTTGACAGGGCCTGTGCCCCTGCGTCACCGATGCACATGTTAGACGCTCCTGTCACAGCGAGGCCACGGGGGTGCAAACTCAAAACCATCGATCTCGGGATTCGTGGTGAGGGGAAACTCCGAACCTCGAGAAACAAACAAGGTCGGGGTTCCCGCGAGGAAAAGACTCCTGTATCTCCACCCAACATGTCAAACCCAAACATGTGGCCGGAGGCAGGAGCGTGAGGGATAAGCGATGCAATTGAGCACGAAAGTGTGCTGGGACTGCACTGGGGATCTTTGGACACTGACTGTATGGACCCGAAAAAGAACAAAGCAAAATCGGCCTGCACTGTACATCCTACCGCTGTACAGGCTCTCACACTCCTCATCAGGCGCATTAAGCTCACACCGTCTCCGGTGATCACAGACGCGCGGGCAGAGCTGAAGCCAGGGGGCACTTCAGGCATGGCAGTTCCCACTGACTGCCATGTCGTCGGGCCCCATAGCCAGCCTCTGCTCCTCGCTCTGTGCACCGGAACAAGTGGAGCCTTCACTGTCTGGTGTGTCACTCCAGAGTTCCAAACCCAGGCGAAGGCATACCCCGGTCTAGCTCGTCGTTGTCGTCGTCGACAAAGGGTCCGGATGTCCTCTCGCCAGCCTGTGGGTCCGGCGGGCGTGCATGTCCCACATCCCTGGCTTGCTTGCCTCCGAAAGGTTCCAGAGCCGAGCGCCTCTCGCCCCTCTTGGCGGAAAGCATTTCCGCAAGCGGGTGCGCACCTGCACTCGCTGGCCTGTCCGTCTTGGGTGGGGTGGCAGTCGGTGTCGGAGTCGCCCTGGGAGGAGTGCCAGGTGGCACTGTCTGGCCGTTCTCGCTGCTTCCTGGTTGTGGTAGACCGGGAGGCGGAGCATGTTTGGCTGGGGGAAAATCCGCAGCAGCCCGGGCCGCTGCCAGAGGTCCTGCCAGCGAGCTTGCACCAGGACTGGTCATGTACGGATCGTCCCTGACGAAGCCGGGAGACGTCTGGCTGTACGTGGTAAGGTGATCCGTTTCCATAGGAACAGCACCTCCACTGTTCGCTGCTTCCGCCCCACTCGGGGAGAAGCCTTCCAGCAGAGGCGATCTGGGATGACGGGCTCGAGAATGAGGTGGCGTACGGGCAGTCCCATCCAGGGCTCTCTGTAGGACTCCATCCATATCGTCCCCTTCTTTCTCCCACTGCTGGGTCATGGCCTCCCAGTTTGCCGCAGTAGCATCGTTCGTCTTGCGACTTTCCGTCTCGATCGGCTGCCCAATAGCAACCTGAACCACTGTCTGGCGGGCAACATCCTGTCCTTGCAGGGCTGCGTTCATTTCCTTCTCGTTGCGCTCGACTTCCCGGTGGAACTTGTTCTTCTCCTTGACGAAAGTTGCTTTCAGCTCCTCGTTGAACTTCTCCCATTTCCGCTGCAAGCCTTCGCGTTCTTGGCTCAGCTTCTTGACACGAAGCTCCGCTCTCCTTGCCTTCGTGAGCACCGATTGCAGCGTCTGTAAGCCTCCAGCCTCCAATGGTAGCTTCCTCCGGCTTGTTGATCACGGGCTGCGAGGGCATCTGCATGAAGGAGGGGAAAGCCGGCCTCGGATTCTCCTTGCGCCAAGGTGCACGAGGCGAACCGATGCCCCGCCAGTAGCGCCAGGATCCATACTGGCTGCCACCATGCTGGCCACCTTGGCCATGCCATGCGTCGGCTTTGGCTGTCTTGGATCCCCATTGCTTTCCGTTCTTGCCCATGAGAGCCCGAACACGTTGCCGAAAGTCGGGGGCTGTGGCGTGGTGGTTGTTGAGACTGCGGAAACCACGCAGGCTGACTGGTTGTCCAGCCTGGATCCTCTTTCGAGCAGAGGATCGATGGTGTCTTTGCCGTCGATGCCAGTTCGGGGATCGACAGTATTTCCCTATGGCGGCAAGGGAAAAAAGGACGCACCTAAAGTGCTGGGGCAATGGCTATTCGCCGTCTCGAGGCGATCTTCCAGCCCTACATACATACATACATGACATACATCATGTCCATCTTATATGACATAGCAGGTACATATATACCCACCCAGAGGCTCAGACTCATACATAACACCTAGAATTGGCGGTGCCTGCTCCATCTGCAGCGGTCCGCTCGGAGGTGCCAGGCCGAAAGGGTTCTTGTTGAACTGCACAGCCTGCTCTTTTGTGGGACCGAACGCTGCACTCCTTCTGCAAGAACATCACAATAGCATATGGAAGATGCGGAATACAGTATGTGAAAGAACAAGGCATGTCGGCATTTGCGCAGGCTATAGCTGTCGTGCGAGAGGCTGCAGTCAACCTTCATCGATAACCCTTACAACAATCCGCAAGCACGTGCGGTCAGCCCGAGGCCAGACAACCCGACTGCCGTAGGCAAGGTCTGGGCTTACTACCAGTAAGCGGCACATTTTTGCCACTAGAACAAGAGTTTAGCATCCTGAACCAAAAGCCGTCTGACAGCACCGCGCTGCCCGGCAGGTCAAAAACGTTCTGCATATCCTTCGACATGTGCCATGCATAGTGTCATAGCGGCACGCTCAACGAGATAACCTACCACCTTTTGCTCAACGGTGTGGACACGACCAGTCGGGAATCAACATTCGGCGGAGCAGTCGATTTGCAGCTGAGGCACCCAGCCGCCCATGGGTTGGGGGGTGAAGTTTCCGACCTGTTTGGTTACATCGAGCTCCTGGCATACTTACATTGGCACAACGTCGGAGTTCCAAGGTCCTGGCCATTAGCTGCATGTTAATGGCCCCACCGTTGCCGCGAACAACAGCTGCAGCCACCTTAGACAGGAATAGCTGAATCAGACCGCCCAACTCTGCTGCGAGCAGAAACAAAATCTATCCCGCTCAACGACCAACTGCTGAATCCCGGAATCCTGTAGATTCGACTCCCTCCATGCCAGAACACTTCGTCTCAGACCCTTTTGATGTGCGGTGCGGACGCCAGAGCATGAGTATGTACGATGCTACGACCCTTTGGACTGCTTTGCAGACCTGCAGTGCTGACAGAAGCGCGAGAGCTTTCCATGAGGACATCCATTGCACTGATTGCAAAAGCGACGCACCTTTCCATGTGGGCAGCTCTTGCATTGTGCGCAGGAGTGTTTGATCCTGCCGTGCTCGCAAGCACTGCACTGCAAGCATGCTTGCTTTCTTTTGCCATGCGGGCAAGGATTGCACTGAGGGCAGAAGCGTTTCACTCGCCCATGGGGGCATCCACTGCAGTGCTTGCAACTGCTGCGCAACAAGCCGTGTGGACAGCCAGCGCCAGTGCACTGTGGGCAATGCGACGCGCGTTTCCCATGAGGACAGGGTTTGCAGACCCTGCAGAAACGAGGCAACTTCCCGTGCGGGCAGCCGCTACATTGGACACACTCGTACTTCAAGTTGCCATGCGGGCACGGGTTGCACTTCTTGCAATGCTCGCGGACCTTACCGTGGCCGCAGTTCTTGCACTTCGGACAGTTGATGCGGAGACGTCCGTGTGGGCACGGGCGACAAAGCAGACAGGCATACTTCAGACGCCCATGCGGACAGCCTGAGCACAGCCGGCAAGCCAGACGTAGAGAACCGTGCTCGCAGCTGCCTCGGCACTCCTTGCAGGTATCGCGCAGCTTGCCATGCTTGCAAGCAGAGCAAATCTTGCATTGCCTGACATACTTCCCGTGAGGGCAGCTTTTTTGGCACACGTTGCAACGATATTTCAGCTTGCCATGTGGGCAGCCGTTGCATATGTGGCAGGCTCGCTCCCGAAGACCATGTCTGCATCGGGCCAATCCCTTCTTCTTCTTCTGCCTCACCCCCCGGCGAACTAGGGCCAGGTGGGTCGTGCGAAGCTTCTTGCCCGTTGCAAGTGGTGGTGCATCCGCCGGCATCATCGGCAGGCTTGACGGAGAAACCTTGTGTGGACAGGTGGCGTATCTGGTCCACATGCCAGGGACATCTTCCAGCTGCGGTCTGCAGCTGAGGCAGACCTTAAAATGTGGTGACAGCAGCGGGGCACCTCGTCGGATCCTCTTCCGCCTGTTGGCTTGAGCAAGAGATTCCCACAGATCCTCCGGCTCCGGTGGGGGAGCCCAGTCCGTAAACGCTTCGGGTCTTGCTGAGACAGACTCGAAGCGCCAGTCGCTGATCCGATCGGTGACGATGTTGATGCGGCTCAGGAGAACTTGTGGAGGGATGAGGCGCAGATGAGTCACGATCTCTCTTCTTTGCCTCAAGCCGAAGCCGCCGAAGCCATCTGAGCGCCCCCACGCAATCTCAAAAAGCCAGTCGCTTGCTCGGTCTGTCACAATGTTGGCACGCCTCAACAAGACCTGTGGCGGTACCATGCTGAACTGCTTTTGAAAGTGCCTGGCCGACGGGCCATCCCGGGGACACCACGGCAGAGTCTCGAAGAGCCAATCGCTCGCCCGATCCGTAATGATGTTCGCCCTCCGCAGCAACACTTGCGGGGGCAGAAACCGCTGAAACCTAAGGCCCGAACTCTCAACCCAGCCCTCAAGAAGCCCGTCGCTGGCATGGTCGGCTGCACATCGGCCGACAATCTGCGGCGGCACGACTTGCGGCGCCTTCGTACATCTGCCCCAGGGCGTGCCAAGCCAATCATCTGCGTGATGTTTGCGCCCCACAACTCCACATGGCATGGCAAGGCCACCGAGTGGCGAGAAGCCTGCATCTACAGGCCTTTTCTTAGATTTCCTGGATAAGTGCCTATCCATGTGCAAGTTGACGAGTCTTTGACATCACCCCATGCCATGGATCAACCTCCACAGCCTTTGACAAATCCCGAATCACCATGAGTGGATCATGTCCACTGTGTGCCGTGCAGGCTGCAGGTGCTTGCACTTCACAGACGAAAACCAAAAGCCCTCAAAAGATCGAGTTGAGGCCTAAGCGCCGGACTCTGAGACCTCGCTTTCCGCCCTCTCCCGGAGTCTGCTCCGAGAGCACTTGCGCCAGGGGGCGCAGCGGCGGAGGAGGGCCTCCATACACACAAGGAATGTGATAGCTCCATCCGGACTGCAACCCTCCGAAACAAGCTGAGCTCAGAGGCACCTGCACCAGCTCCTGCACTTGGGGCAGCGGCCGGGGCACCTCTCTTGTTGCGGTCGGGGGTGTCCCCGCTGCTCGAGCTCGCGCTGCTGTCCTTCCAAAGCGCATCCACGGGCAGCGGACAGAAACGACACTGCTCACCGCAGCGGCCTCACTTGCCTCATCGCCGGACTCCTCTTCATACCTGCCGACTGCAGTGGGTCCACGATGTCAGGTCATGCGGGCTCGGGCAATCAAACGATTCCAGAAGTGAAATCTGTCTGCTGCCATGCAATCATAGAGAAACATCCCTGTTGCGGTGCGGTCCTTCCGGTCTGCTGGATCTCTTGCTCGACGCGCTCGATGGTTTCAGAGTAGTCCTCGCATCACTGCACGCTCTCAACAAGATGGCCCTTTGCGACATTGCACCTACAGCCACGGTCGCCTCGAAGTCATCGTTCTCTTCCACCTGCCGGGCTCCGCGGTTGTTGTCGCAGAAGGCCTCGGGAACCTCCAGTCAGGGCATAGTCACCGCTGCCTGACAGTGCTCAAGGCTGCCTGGTGGTAGACGGATGCCAGCGTTGAGATGTTTGCAATGAGGCGGTCCAGCACCCGCGGCTGCAGAGCCTGCAGGAACGACAGGTGGGGTGCGGTCCGGTCAGCCTCATCAAAGGACGTTGAGATTCGGACGAAGGAATTTTCGCTGATGGTCGGCCTTTCACTGAGGACAACCTTGCCACAAACATCCTAGCTCTTTTTTGTTGCAGGAAACTGCAATGTGGACAGGCCAATGCAAACAGATCGTGCCTGCTTTGCTAGCTGCGGGTTGTTGCTAAGCAGCCTCAAATCAAAGAAAGCATTTTTTCTGGCGAGGAATGGTCAGGAAATTATCAGTTGCTGTTGCTTTTGTTTGCAGACTAAGGTCCTCCAGTACATCCATCCACGGTCTCGCAGATCAGGGTTGGTGCTTTCGTCTGTGCACAGCTTCAGAACACGCCCCACAAGCTCCCGGGAGTCCTGACACGAGAATGATTGCCGTAGCGACGACGTAGGGCTTTAGTCACCAATCATCGCATGTCATCGAACCGAACCGCCTGGGGGCTCTTCACGAACTTCTTCACCGTCGCAGTCAGGATTTGCTGCTGCACAGTGGAGGGCTCCTGGTCGAAAGGGCGCCAGGAGCCACGAGGCTGATATATCGGGCCAGCGGTCCGCAGCCTCGTGGAAGGTTTCCAGGAAGGTCTCTAGGAGGTCCCCGCTGTTGTCGATTCTGACCGGTTGGAACTTTAAGAGACGATTCCGGAGACATAACACTCTCCGAGCCTTTCGGCATACTCCCCGACGATCCAGATCATGGACGCCTTGGCATCGGGCTCATCCAGGCTATCCAGGCTTTGGCACAGCTCCGAGATGATCATCTCGTACCTTGGATGTCTCAAGTCGCCAAGTCCGTGGAAGTCCCTCTAAAGAGACTTCTGATCTGACAAATTCTGATACTTCTGACTCATGCGAGTAGCTTTGACTCAAGAACCAGACTCCAATCCTTTTGTCGAGCCACTGCGAGAGAGAGTACTCTTCTGACAAAAAACTATGATACCTCTGATTTTCATCCTTTGGACTCACCTACCGAAGTCCTGTCTCGTGTCGAGCCACTGGCCAGGATACTTCCTGAAAATGTCCCGGATAACTACGATGGCCTCCTGAACCACGTAGTTGACCTGCTAGAGCAGCACTTCCGGGACAGCGAGGCATAGGCACCCAGAGAAAGCACCCCCTTTGGAGATCCCTGGTTTCAGGTTTCGAGGCGAGGGCCCGAGTCTTGATCAGCTCCAGCAAGCAATTCACGCATTGCTCTGCAGACCGTTCGAGCTTGATTGCTGCCTGCAAGCAAGGGCGAATGAACTCGCCAATCAGTGATTACCCGAGCTGCTCATCATGTTCTAAAGTGCCCCGAAAGCATGAGGCTCTCCACCGTCGTCTCAAAAAACACTGCATGGCTAGGTTCTGCCGCTCTTCAGGTCTGGCACCTGGCCAATCGCTCGGACCGACTGGCGAACGACTTCGATGTCCACCTCCCATCTATTATTGCATGTAAAAACCGCCCGGCCACTAAGCACAGAGTCACACCATGGCCATGACACACCTCTGAGGCATACTCGACGAACTCGGAGAGGACAGAGTCAATGTTCCGGTCGGAGGCCAGCTGCACCTAAGAGGATGACGACACCTCTTGCTTGCGGCAAAAGTGGACTCGAAGAAGTCTGCTCCTCATGCTCGGGACAGGACCATCACAGCTATCTTCTCAAGCTTTACGTAGAGCGGGTCGTTGTATTTGCACACGAACATTCGCACATCCGTCTGGAGAATGTTGGGTTGCTTCTGTGCAATGAGGTTGATGTTGCGCATCACCACCTGGAGAAAGGGACAAATACCATTGCAGATGTCCAACCTCCGATAAAGTTTGGCCAGGCCACGTACTGAATCTCTGGTTCTGCGGACAGCATTGTGACCAGCGGTGCTGTCATTCGCTTGCACAGCGTCCGCACCTCCGCACCACTCTGAGCTAACGTACTCTTGCCACATCAGCATTAACTAGACAATGAAGATCTAGGGAGTGAGCTAAGTCGTTGCTGGACAGGCGGTCCATGAACTTCATGATCACCTTGACGGCCTTGCAGGAGTGTGAGCCCTTTGGCGGGCGGTGAGCGGTGAGCAGCTGCATGGTTGCAGGGAAGCTGCCGACAGAAGCACCTTTGTCGCGGCGTCACGAAAAGCACGTAGAGGCATTTGCGCTGCCAGCCTAATGGAACTGAGCCTTCGGCGGCACTGTTGCCATGAGTGAGTCGGGCAATGACACCTGTCTTTACACCAAGTACATCATCTCTTCTCGATCACCGTGTAAAAATCGCAGGCATGGGTATCACTCACACCTCTTTCCAAGATGGCTTCTGCCACCTTTGAGTTCGGTGGATCGTAGGTGGCCAGCGCCTCAGCAAGATTGAACGAAGGGGTCGTTTCGCTCGAAAAACTTGTAGGGTTTTTGACCTCAGTCCACCCGGTCTTCAGGAGCTCCCCCCCCACCTCAAACCGCATCCTCCCGCATCTTCCCAAAGCCTTTCTGAGGCCATCAAAAATCGCGGAGAAGGCGCGTCCAAGATGAAGACTTGCCCCCATTCCTCGACATGTCCCCAGGTTTCTCACAGAGGAGCCCCAAGGGGGCCCTAGGAACTGAGGAAAAAAAAGGCGCAAAGCAACAAAAAGCCGTCGGCTCTGAGTTCTCCCAAGTTGCCGAGCACTCGTTGAGGGCCGGAAGAAGCCGAGAGATCACCTCCTGGAGCGAAAAAAACAGAGAGGCGGCGAGGCGGCTCAATCATCCACAAGCCCAGCTTTTCGTATTATATAATATTTCATACATAATATGTAGTGTATATATATATATAGTATATAATATATAATATATAATATAGAATATATAAGGGTTAGGGCTTAGGGATGTTGAGTTTGGGGATCCAGTGGAGAGCATCGATCCTCATCGAGCTTCAGGTAGTTCTTCCGCGCAGATGTGGAGATTTCACCAAGGGAGGCCACTGCATTGGCAACGACCATCCTTAGATGCAACGTTGGCACATTTCTGCTGCGAGCTGCCTCGTGGACACTGGGACGCACGCGGGTTCGAATCTCCGAGCATGTCCCTCAAGATGTCCAGAAAGCCCTTGGCAAGGAAAGGTAGAGATGCTCGCGATCATTTAACACCGTCAAAGAGACGCTGAGTCCGGAGCCTGATCTTCCACCAGCTCTGGGTTGATGTCGTAGAGCTTGGCAATGCAGATGGTCGCAGTTTTGCGAACCCAAGCGTCCATGTCTCTGCAACTCCTGGCATCGGAGTCTAGGCCCCAACATCTTCTGCTCGATCAAGTGTCTGGCTCGCCTCCGCAGGGGATCGATCAGGTACTCTGTCATCTTCTCCAGGCGGATACAGCCCATGGTCCTCACCTCGGTCTCGAAATCTCCCTATCAGAAGTCCATTCACAGAGAGGCCTGGTTAGGACCTGATTTCCGAAGAAGCTAAGGCATGCGCAGCCAGAGCACGCAGAAGAGGATTGTTCGGGTCGTTCGCATCCTGCAAACCCAACAGGCGCACACAATCGACGAGGCACAGCAGTCGTGCGGATGCCGCGCAAGTCTTGCAACAGACCCAGCAATGCGTGAGTAAGGGTACGCTACCGGATACTCTGGGGGTTAGAAGGGCTGCCTGAAAGTCAACAAAATGCACCGCCAGTCCGTGCGGAAAGCGTTGATGGCGAGGATTGCCAAGTCTGGCTGCGCCTGGCCCAAGTGAACCAAGACATCTCCGAGTGTGAAGAAGTGCATTCAAGCCTTGGCATAGTTGATCACATACAGGTAGACCAATTTCCTCCGATCTAAAGCAAGGCAGAACAAGCCTTACAAGGCAAAGCTCGTCCGTTGTCACCAAGGTGCTTGAGGTCCAAGCTGTTGGTCTGCATGCATTTGACAACATCTGGAAAAAGCGACGAGACGTCGTTGCCCAAGGTCATTGCTTGAATGACCTGGGAAGTTTGGCATTCAAAGAAGGTGCACAATCTGCAAGGTTCATGTCCTGGGAAAACATAGGGCGAGGCTTTCTTCAGGGCCTCCTTCTTTCGGTCTTTGTTGTTGTGGTTCAGCTCCTCTTGATCCCGTCACACGAAAACGCTGCTTCAGTCGGCAGCCGCACTGCTCCTCCTTGAACTCACCGATTTCCCCTCTGCGATTGCCTCCATCCTGAGATTTGCCGCACATCCAGACTCTTCCAAGGCAGGCGCAAGGCCATGCTCTGGGGGGCCGGCGAAGAAGTTGCGCACAGCCTTCGGCGTTCCCAACTTCTTCATGGCTTCTGCGCAGAGATCAAACCTTTGCGACACAAGAAAATATTGCCCGGATGGGGTGACCCCTGCCGTCACGGATGCAGCTGTGCCGCTATCATTTCCGGCACTTCGGCTCGAATGGCCAGCACAACATGTGCCTACATTATGTTCATTGTGTTTAGGGTGCCAACGACGAGTCTGCAGAAGTGTATGAACAGCACTCTGCTTCGATGAGGCCGGAAATGTCTGCTTTGGAGCCCGTGGTCCTACAGCACGGATTGAGTATGGAGCCCTGTGAAACCCGGCATGTGTGCCCAACATGCAAAACTCTGCTTGCGTTCCATATTGAAGAAAGCTGCAGAGAAGCATGGCAAGCATCACAGGAACCGTCAAGCAGGACAGGCACAACCGTCGAATCAACTTGCGATGCCCAACCACTGCACGTGTAAACAAGGGGGAAGACCAAGGCGCCAGTGGAAAGTCCTCAGCTGGACTTTCAGCCCTTTCGGAACGTGCTTGCTCGTAACACCGAAACGACCCAACTAAGGACTGGGATCACTCAACAAGCACCAAAAGCACTGACCTTCCTTGCCGAGTGGCGGTCCACCAGCTGCTCCGACTTCAAATCTTGGCCTTTTCGCACTAAGATGCCTCCTTTATCAGCACCTCCCACAACCTGACACAGCTGGCAAGCGCTAGCCACACAATGTCGGCGAGTCTTTGCGCGGCCTCCCATTTTGACATTTTTTGTTACCGATTGCCTTGTCAATCTCTCATACACATCAACTGGCAGATCGTCCCCGAGCCACTTGAGGCTCGGACTCGCGAGGCTGGCAGCTCTTGGGCGCCAAACCAAAGCCCGCCCAACTTAAATCTGTGACTCGTGTCAGAATGTCACTTCTAAGACTCCCTGCGGGAAGCATCGAGCACGAAAATGAAAACGGTAGCAAGTGCTGCTAATGACTGGATAGCGAGTGCACATGTGCGTCTCTTCTTCTTTCGTATCTAGGCAAACATGTGCGTTCCTACCCTTATCAAATCTTTTAAAAAAGCGACATGCCTCACACTCAAAACGTTTTCAACACCACCACTTCTCTCACAAGCAGCGGCATCATCCCACGCTGACCGTCCAATTCAGAAGCACAGAGGCCGCGTACCGAAACCTCATCCTTGTTGTGGCTCCTGTAGTGAACCGGGCCTACTACCACCCAGAGCACAACCCCCGTTTGAAATACGGAGGCAAACAACGATTTTCCTTGTATGGCTTTTTCCTCTGCTTCCATTCCACAAAAATTTTCAAGAGCTTCATAAAAGGTATGCAGAAAAGCTATTGCTCTCAGAAAAAATATTGGAGAAATCACTCCTTCCAAAGCTCACTCCAATCAAGTAACAGATTCGGCATCAATAAGTTTCATATGCAGAAGCCGCACTGTCCACCAGTTTCAAAAGTTTGCACACGCACACACACTCGAACTCCAGGCAAACCCTGGTGTGAGTTCTCACGAGTGATATCAACTCCAATCAAAGTCAGAGACTCAGAGGAGGCATCAAAGAATGTAAAATGTTGTGGGAGGTCTTCAACAGGCTCGAGTTCCCTT